CCCCCCCCCCCCCCCGGAACCCCCGCCCGCACGGCGGTGTGCAGGGGGCCCCGGGGGGGGGGGGGGGCAGACTGGTGTGCCATCAGCAAAACAACAGTTCTAACGGCCGTTAAGAAGACCCCGGGCATGGCTGGGGCTCCGTACGGTCTGGGGTCCTGCAGAATGGAGGCCAATGTCCCCGCGTGGCCCCCAGTGGGTGGGTGCGACTCCTGGGCCCCCTGCACAGCGAGCGGCCAGCAGGGGCGGGTTGCTGCTCTGGCCCCCATCTGGGAGCGCAAGAGCCCTGTGGGCGGGGCCTCTGCACGCCCCTCCCCCTCCCCTTGGAACCAACTGCCGCTGCAGGGCTGGAGCCCCCGTTGCTGCCAGCAGTGGGGGTGGAGAGGACCCTCCTTCACGGGAAAACAGGTCCAGAGTCCTCGCCTTGCACCTCCCTCAAGCCCCCTCCTTCCCCCGCAAAGTCTGGGGACGTGTCCGATGGTTCTTTGTTACGCGACTGTGAAATAATTTGCCCTGTTTGGGGCCACGTGGAGGGCTTCTTCCACCCCCCCTCAGGAATTGGGGGCTCTTCAAGCATCGCTAGCAGGGCCTCCCCCTCCCCTTGGAAAAGCCTCCTGCTGATGATTTGAGACACCCGCTGTGTTGAGGGGAGAGAGACCGGGGCCTTGCCCCCTTTCGCTGTTCCCCCAGGGGGGGCGGGCTATTTCCCCTAGGCCAGCTGCCCCCCCATTTTCTGCCCTGAGAAGCACCAGGCGGGCCCCTTTGCTCCACCAGCAGCTCGCCTTCTGCAATTTCAGCCCGGGCAGCTCTCTGTAGGACTCGGGGCTGTGATGGCAGAACTGTGCCCGCAGCTGGGGCCGGAGCAGGAGGAGAACATCTACCACTGGCTGCCCTCTGAGGAGGAAGCGCCCGGCAGGCCGCCGCTCAGGTAGGGGCCGAAACGGCATCGTGGGCTGGGGACGGACGTGGCGCAAGCATGCCTTTGGCCATTCAGCAGCGTCACCCCCTGCGTGTCCCGTTTTCCTGGTACTGGGAAAGAAAAGGATGCTGGCACGGTCTTAATCCAGCGATCGGGGTCTCTGCCTTCTCGGGCTAAGAGGCTCCGGTGGCTCTTTGCTGCCCAAAGATGCTAGCGGCACGGCTCCAGAGCCCTGGCTGGAAACGCCTGGCGTTCCTGAGCCTGCTTCCGAACGGGCCTCCTCAAGTCATCCTAGTCAACTGGGTGCTCCAGGCAACAGCCGTAGGCGATTAGTAATGTCTCCCCTGCCGCATCTGGAGCTCGTTGCCCTCCTGAGACACCTGGGTGCCATCTGGGGGCACGTGCTCCAGAGGACTTGGGGCACAACGCGACCCCCTCGAGGTTCCTGGGTGC